TCCATCTGCTACATTAATACTGCCTTAGTACTAAACCTATAAATATATGCACATAGATATATTTCCCCAACCTCACATATAAATATATTTACGTATGTACATGCCTTTATTTAGACCTCTATAAATGCCCTTTGCGTCCTAGCTCTTCCTTCCATTTCCTTTTACTTTCCTCTTGTCCCACTACTATGCTCAGCCTTCCTTTGGGTTTCAGTAATTCCTCTTGGTTACATTACCTTTGGTCACACCCTGCCAGACCTCCTACACCCTCCTCACCACCGATTTGGATCACTTGTTGTTCCCTTTGTTAACACCAGTTCCTGTCCCCCTCCTCCCTCTCTCCCATGTCCCCCTGGTACTGTTGGTCCCGTTGTTTTCTCCTCCGGATTGTTCATCCAGCCTATCTTATTTAGACAGACCTATGGAGATAATAACATGCACAAAAACAAAACAGAGCAAAAGCAAGCAACAAAAGAAAACAGAACAACAACAACAACCAAAAGCCAATGACAAAATAACAACAACAACAAAAAACCACATCACAACAACAACAAAAAATAAAAGCTTGTAGTTAGTTCAAGGACTGTTTGTTGGCCTTTATTAGTGTTTTCTGGTTGAGTCTGATGGGGTGCCAAGCACTGGCCCCAAAGTCTGTTTTTGGTATTCCCTGGGGGACTTCATTGCTCTGTGGCTGTTCTGTTGCACATCCTTCATGTTTTGCCTCTTTGTGGTGGGATCAGATTGGGCGGAATTCCCACACTGTGTCTCCAGTGTTGTCCCCTGTAGGGCTATGGGTCAGTGAGGGATGTCATGTCTCATAGTGGGGCCAGCCAAATGGTCTTCTCTGTGGATTGGCTGCTCTGAGTGGGAATATCATCCTCAAGGCTTGGTGGACTTGGATGTGCTCTAGTCTCTCTTCCTCCCCCTTCGTTTGCTCCCGTGTGCTCTGATCAGACATGTCCCTCTCCCTGAGCTGCAGCTGAATTCTGAAATAAATTCTTCTGGGGGGAGGGACAAGTGTCCACGTAGTTGGGATTGGGGCTGGCCCCTCAGACCTCTCCACTGGTTCCCTACTCCATGCCGGCATGTTGCATTCACATATTGGAGCACAGGGTTAAAGTCTGGTCCCTCTTTCCCCGTGGAGATATAAACAATAACCTCCCCTTG